TGTACGTCCTCGTTGCTAGGCGGACGAACTCCCGGTAAAGAGTTGGAGTTTTATATGATAAATAATTTATGTTCGTTTGAGGGAAGCGAATTAGAATATAAATATATTTATCATTGTTATGTAAACGAGTGGACGGGATGTCCGTGTCTTGTCTCGCACGTGCAGCTACTAGTGCACGTGGGACAGGTATGCTTGGGACAGTAGCGACACGTACAGGTGTCTGTGTTCGCCTAGCTGTTGATCAGTCCGGACTTCCCGCCCACCCGCCCATTCTTGTTAGTACTTGTTCAGTTTTTGGGTGGCTGTTACATTATATTTCCAGCAATCCTTTCACATGGGGAATGAAACAACCTGATTTGTGTACAGCTATTTTGGAGCATGAAGGACAAGACGAAGTGGCCAGCAATTCCCGCACAGCACTGGGATTACGGATCCATTTTCCGATTTCCATGTAATTTTACCTGAATAAATATGTACGTCCTCGTTGCTAGGCGGACGAACTCCCGGTAAAGAGTTGGAGTTTTATATGATAAATAATTTATGTTCGTTTGAGGGAAGCGAATTAGAATATAACCTTAGTTTTATGCAAAAAGAAATTATTTCTTTATATAACCTTCGTATGTATTTACAAAGAGTAAATTACAATAAACTAAAACAATTTTTAAAAAATCTATAACAGAATCCGGGTTCGACAGAAGTACAGCAGCCTACACTGCCAAAAGTCTATGTAGCTCACTGGGCTCCTTTTAATATCAACCAAAGACCAAGTAGAATGTCATTCATTAATGGGGTAAAGAATTGACAATCAGTGTTCAAAACTCACAGCATCTCAACTTTATTTTAACATAATATTTGGCCTATGGCCCTTGCAGCACTTCCACCTTGTGACCCCGGCTACTGAAGAGAAAAAATTGTGAACCTCTGCTTGCTATTGGCGAAAATGTTCAAGCTCAGGAATGTCATCCAATTTTCTTTTACTTTGAGACTACACAACAGAATGTTACATGTAAAAGAAAAGTGACCTACCTGAAGTGAACTGGTTGACAATGGCCACAGTTCGCTCCATGCACTGGTTGCCAAGGCGTACAAATCGTACCACTTCCTTAGTGATATGAACCTGCCCACCTAGTTAAAAAAAAAAAAGTTTCATAATTTTGGTTTTCAGCAAAGATGCAACTTACATATCAAAGATTAAATCAAGCTGTACTTCTTTCTAACATTTGTTTTATATTAATTTATGTTGAACTAAGAACTGGGGTCAGTCACACAAAATTTAACAGACATGAAAAATATTTCAACCTAGAATTCACAAATGAATGATTTTACAAAATACACCAGTTTCACGTACTTACCATCAGACTTGACATTCTGTAGTAACTTAGTGGTGATGCGAAAGATGCATTCAAGGTACTTGAGGTAGGCTTCCTGAAAAAATGAAGAAATTTTGAAAACTGAAAACATATCTTAGCAAGAGAAACATAGCCTCAGACAAGATATCACTTCATACCAGTCAGTGCAAATGAACCTGCCAAAGTGTTGACTCCACTAAAAGGAATTCTCAGGATTGACTCCAAGATGCTGAACTTGGAAAAATGACTTTGAAAGGACTTGATACTGTGCATGATAATCTCATTATCTTGCTCTCAAAAGGATTACCATACCGAAAAAGATTTGAAGATTTTTATTAGGTCACCTGAGACAAAGTCTCAAGTGACCTATTGCTATCGCCTTTTGTCCGTCGTCGTCCGTCGTCCGTCGTGCGTCCGTAAACAATTTACATTTTCGACTTCTTCTCCAAAACCCCTGAACCAATTTCAATGAAATTTTGCAGGGACCTTCCATGGACAAAGGTCAACAAAAA